AAGAATCCATTGTCGTTTAATGTGAAGTTAATGGGCACATTGTCTATTAAAGCCGCTTTAGCAGGTAACGTGTCCAATGTACTGGATGAAAACTAAGTTCACGAAAGATAATATAACTCAGCTGAACGACTGACAATCGTAGTACTTACTGTTCTCTCAATTAGTTGTATTTCTTTAGGAATTAGCACAAGATTGCTGTTGTGAACAAATCACACAGGAACTTTCTTTTTTTTTATGGAAAAACTAAGTTTATTTTCTATAATTTAGAAAGAATATGCCCCTCTTCGGACCTATTTTATTAAATATATCGGCAAATGTAAGAAATTACAGAATGGGTATACCTGTAAAAATAAATAAAATTTCGTTAAAATGTATAGAAAGTTTTTTTTCTGACTAAAAGGTAGTAAAACATAATTAAAAAAAACCTTTAAAACCAATAAAAACTGGATAAAAATAAGGTGTAAGAGCATTCACTGTATGTTTGTTAGAATGTCTGATGTTTTATACAATACAGTGAATTAAAATTGGTGGGGGAAGGGGAGAACTGTAGAAGTAAATTATTATATTCTTTCTAAATTATAGAAAATAAACCTACTTTTTCTATCAAAAAGACAGTTCCTGTGTGATTTGTTCACAACAGCAACCTTGTGCTAATTCCGAAGGAAATACCACTGATAATCGTACTTTTTCTTAACTAAAAGGAAATTATTCATAAAAAAAGCATGCTAATTATTAAAAGAAAACTTGTTAATAGAGAGGTTACGGCCGAAGTTTTCAACGCAAAAACGTGTACGTCGGACGTTTAGCGCCGCCTTCCTGTAAGTCTAGAAGTTTGACAATAAAGTTTGGAACGTCGAGCATGATTCCACTGACGTTCTAAACGCCATTGTCAAACTTCTAGGCTCACAGGAAGGCGGCGCTGAACGTCCGACGTTCCAGTTTTCGCGTTGAAAACGTCGGCAGCAACCTCTCTAATAATAGAATTAAAGTAATAAAATTAATAAATAACAATGTTTCATATATTATTATTTGTCCTTTTAGGGACCAAAGATGATAAAGAATAAGAAGAAAGCAAAAGCTGAACAACGAGTGACAATGATGGCAGCAGCTATGGTAGTTTGTACTCTAACTGCTTGGACACCTTACGCAGTGGTATCATTAATGGTAACTACAGGATATTCCCATCTCATAGGTCCCATAGCGTCAGTAGCACCGGCCATATTCGCCAAAACTAGCGTTATATACAATCCAATTGTATATTTCTTCTTAAATACTCAAGTAAATATGCTTACAATTTAGAACTATAGAATTTTATTAATCTAACTAACATTTAACAGTTTATTTTTACAGGTTAATAAATCTCTTAAGAAAAAGTTTCAAAGAAGGTCTATAAGAGAGAGAAATGAAGATTTTTCTGTAACTACTAATTATTTTTATACAGTGGATAGCATCAAGCCAACTGTAGCAGTAGCAACGAGTGTTCCAATTAAATCCAAGAAATCTCTCAAAACTGACACTTCTAAAGTTTAAATAAATATTAAATATAAAGTAAAATTAAATAAAAAAATATATATAAGAATTCAAAAAATTTATGTTTCCCTTATCTAATATTAAAGAAATTCCTTTAAAATATAACCTATTTGGCATTATTCTATAACAGATAATTTATTGATGCCATCGAAAATTGTTATTAAAAAGCCCATTCTCATTAAAATGTTTCTCTTAGCTTAGCGCTTACAATATTATTTCTTATGTAATAGAATGATTATCATTTATATATTAATTATATTATATAAATGAATTCTTATGGTCTGTTTTATGGTTTTGTATTCTTAAATGACGTCAAGTATGATTTATATCTTCTTGAAGAATTTACAGAAAATCATTAAGAATAAAAAAAGGATGAATATAATATATAAAATATTTATTTTTATGGAAATTTTTATTATTTTTTATAGAAATATATAACATCATTTCGGTGTAAAGTACGCTCATTGAAGCGATAGTGATGCATTATTTAAATAACTTCGCATTCTTTCTGGTTACAAACTTTCCAAAAAATAGAAAACTATTTAATTTTTTTATTTTTTTATTTTAAATTTTATGTATTATGTTAATATTAAATAAAATTATTTGATAAATAAATTTGTCAAGAAAACCGAAAGATTTTTATGAATATTGAATATATTATACTATATTAATTATAAATCTAATTAATTTAAAAATATATAATGATAATTCTATTAATGATAACGCTTGAAATAATCTATTTACAGATAAATTCCTCTATAGCGATAATAGCAGAATAAGAAAACAATTGTCATTTAAAGATTTATTGTTATAGTGAGAGTATCCCCTTCCTCAATTATTATCAGACTACAAATAAGGTTATTCTACAATGTTAGAACTGAAAAAATATATACAGTTATTAGTCTCTTTTTAGTACAAGATTTAAATGATTTTATTGCATATTATTTATACAGTATTTATGTTAAAAATCAAAATACAGTATAAAATCGGCCAGAATCCGAATCTTCCTAAGCACAAATGAACTAAATAAAACTAAAACTAAGTAAAGTAACACTGAATTAATTGTAAGGTATAATATTTTTAAAGAGAATACTTTTTTGTAATTATTTTAATAAGGTAATTCGACCTGGGGAATATGAGCATACATTCGTAACTTCGTAACAATAATGTGAATGAGAAGTGTCATATATAAGACTCTTCTACGAGTGTTATTTTTAGCAACGTGGTCGCATACATTTATCAGATTAGCTGTAGTATGATATTTTTGTAAAATAATGTTCTTTTGTTGTCTAATCAACTGAATAAAGATGAAAAAAAAAACAAAGCCAAGTGTTTAATTAAGAACACAACCTTGTGTTCAACACTAAAAATGAGTCGAATATGAATCTGTCGACGTTTATAGCTAAAGTTTATCTATTCCAATTGACAGAACAATCTGGAAATACGTGTGGGGTGATATTAGCATGCTCATATCACTCTTCAGCATTGAAAATGTTTATAGGCTACTGCAACGAATTATTTTCTAGAACAGGAAAGAGGAGGAAGATGGATAAGATGTGAAAAATGAGCACACGAAGAGTGCACAGATGTTTCTCCAACCCAAATACAGTATGTTTGCAAAAAAATGCATACAAAATTTACAAATTATAAGTACAGTACAGTAGATCCCCCTATAAGACGGTAGATACGTTCCGTTCTTTATGAATCAATTTTGTAGGAATCATAGTTTACGGACTACGGCTGTTTGAAAGGTTTTCTTTCATAAAATTAATCGATTCTAGACTAATTCGACTCAACATTTCCAAAATACGTATANATTTTTTGGGGGGTCATTTTTTTTGACCAACGGCCATATTTTCCCTCTGTTATATATATATATATATACAACCAGGAAAATAAAAACGAAATTCCATTAATTAATCAAATGCTTCACAGTTCTTAGAATACGAAGAACGATACATACAGCGATTTGATTCTTCGGAAATTACCGAAATATTAATAAATAATTACTTAGTCTATGTCGTCGCGAATTTAATCGAGTTGTAACGATTGTTATTAATTAAATAATGGTAACGAATTGTTTTCTTGAAACAGGAATGACAGCAGTGGGAACAGTGACAGTAATAGCTGTGGAAAGATACATAATCCTGTCCAGACATTATCAGTCAGTGGGTCTAACTAAAGAAAAAGCCGTAGCGTGCATCGTGTGTATTTGGATTTATTCACTGAGTATGAGTTTACCTCCTCTGTTCGGCTGGAATAGATATATACTAGAAACACCGGGTATAGCTTGTTCTGTGGATTGGGAAACGAAATCTGTAACCAACACTTCCTACATCATTTATATCTTCATTCTTGGTTACTTCGCACCCGTCCTGATTATGGCATCCTGTTACGGCAAAGTCATATACATTGTTTGTAAGGTGAGTATACTGATCGATCATCTTATTTTGGTTATTTTAAATTGGAAACAAAAATATAATCGTATCATTCTTAAGCTCTTTTCATTCGATTCTAAAATTTCTAAGAGATTTTTATTACTTTCAATTTATTTTATTTGTATTTTACGATTTATTTTTATCTTATTCTTAATCGATTATTTTACGGAATTTCATTAATAAAAATATAATTTAATTATTATAAATATTTCGATAGATTAACGATGATGAAAATTAATTTCGTTATACTCCAATTTAATTAGCTTTTAGAGCAAATTATATTAGAAATATCATAAGTTTATTGAGGAATTATATTTATTTACATAAATGTCTTACAGTCTGTACATAAGTTAAAAATATTTTTTTCTTTTAAAGGTAGAGCTAAAATAATTTTCTATTTCTGTAATATAATTTGGAAACCAATTTTGGTAGAGTAGATACCGATATAGGCCTATAATATAGATTTCTATTACCAAGGTTGAATCGATTATTATCAATAGTGTTAAAGAATAGTTTCCGTGTCTTATCTCCGAGTCTTTAGAAAGATTGAGATTAAACACGAACCTTTCTTTCTTAACAGAAATTGTAATGAAGTTTTCTTTTTGAATTTCCATAATTTTATTTGTTATTTCTATAATATGTCCAATCGGAAGTAAAGAGCTAACGAACCCGTTATTTACAAAGTGTTATCGCTCATTTGAATACAGTATAGTACATACAATTCATCTTTGTTTTATAAACTTGGAATTAAAACGTTCGCTGTTTTGTCCGAAAAAAAAATGCCTAGGCGAAATCGTAAGAGTAATTGTTCTTATTCTTTCAGATCTGATCAATTATAATTGATCAGATCTGAAATAATAAGAACAATTGAGATCCCTGAAGACCGTGAAAGCAACATCGAGTAAGAATGACTTTTTTAAGGGCTGCAGAAACATCATAACGTCAAGCTCGAGGGTATAAACTATAATTAATTCGTTGAAATATTAGTAATACTACTTGATTTCTTGAAATCTCTAGTTTTTCTCTTATCAATTCTTCAATCTCTACTTTCTCATAAAAAGTATCCGTCATGCTTGACGGGAGAATTTCTATTTATATAATACTTGTTGAAAATATAGAAAATACGGTTATATCCGGAAATTGTTTTTGCTGTATTTGATTCGAATATATAGTAAATATCGCGTAGTAATATTCATAGCAAAGTATTACAAAAATATATATTACTATAGTGGAGAATAAGTGGAGAATATAGTGGAAAGATGACCAAACTCCTAGTGTTTAGGAAACAGAACTTATCTATTTTTTAATTATTATTCCTGTTATTAGTGATGAAAGTTCGCTAAGAAATTCTGTACTCTATTTCTGGTGTAGTGGATATAAAACGGAAAGAGAATAATAACTGAAACAGATTTTTTAAATGATTCTGTTTCTGGTTTTTAATGATAGGAAACGAAGCATTAGAGTATCAAAAATCATATTAAAATCAGAAAAATTCTTTGATTATATAAAATAATAAATAAATAAATAAACGAGATATATAAAGGTAATAAAATATTTTCATATTAACATATAAAAGTAATTTTAAGACTATTGTATATATATCCATATTTTAATATTAGAATTTATTGATTTAGAAATGAAGAGTAAAATTTGACGCGTATAAATGGACTTTTGGGACATAAACGTCTAAAAATATACATTTAAAGAAGAAAAAATATTCAAAAATTTTCTTCAAAATTGTCTTCTTTATATAAATTTCTTTGTAGTTTAAATATTATTAACGGAATAAATTTAAAATATCAGTAAGGTTCAAATCGAATTTTATAATTTATTTAAATAACCATTTTAAATATATCTGATTGAATTTTATTCGGTATATTAGCTTGACAGACTTTAATGAGATAGAATAACAATTTAGTTATATCTAGTAACAAAATATTGCAGTTGTATAGAAGTACAGAGAAATTGTAACGACAGATTCGTGCGTAAAATGTCACTTCGAACTTCTCTTATACTGAAGCTTCCTTTACATCATAAATCGATTTTTCAATATTGTTTGTGAAAATATCAATAAATAGAGATTATTATGAGTTTTGCTTGTAACAATTTCGAAAAAATTAAAAATATATAAAACTATAAGACTCTTCTGACTTCAGAGGTGATTAAAACACTCAAATAATCCTTAAAAAGTGTTATTTTAATGTTTTAATATCAAGAAAGGATTATTTTAATTCTAACACTTCATCTTACATCATACACTTACGATCATACGATTATAAGTTATGTAACAAATGTATTTCGCCAAAGTGACGATGCTTCATCCTCCTTAGTGATAATCACAATTTATCATCACTGAGGAGGAGAATCACAGCTTATTTACTACAATACCGTTGATAATTAATATATCAATGATAAAACGAATATGAATTTGAATTAAATTCACCGAAAATATTTCTTATAATTGTTATTCTCTTGTCTTTCTTACCACTACATACGTCTATTATTTATCTTCTTTATCCTTAAATTGTGTTATATAAAACTTTTATAAATAAATTATTTATAGTGTAATCAGAATATTTAAAACGAATCTAAATAAATTACAATCGTATAAAACTTTAATTCTATTAAAATAAATTGGAAACAAACGAATTGATAACTTTAACCGCTAAGAAATGTTTTTCTTTAAACAAAATACGCCTATATATTTTTTAATTATTTAAAGTTTAAAATATCAAAGATAATTCGATAATTGAAGACTATAATTAATTATTTAAATTATTCGGATATTTATTTCACTATTACTAGATTTAACTTTTCTATTTTTAAATATTTTAATGAGGGTTTCTTTTATCTTTATTTTTCTTGGAAATACTTGAATTGAGAAGAGTAAATGAGAAAGGATTCTTATTCCATTCTGCATACGGTTAGAGACAAATTAAAATTTTAAATGCAGTTTATCATTTTCCTCTTTAACATTTTATATTTAATAAACGACAATTATTTATTGTGACATCGTCATAATGCCAGGCTGCAATTTTTAATCATATTCTTAATTTATTTAATTTAAAATACAGTACTCTCTGTGTTCTCTATCTCAGACATGCTTCTTCATTATTCCTGTTTCCTATTTTACTGTCATTGGTCTTCAGCCTCCATGAACATCATCTTTCAGACCTCTTAATGCTCTCTGAACTAAAAGGGATCCTTAATAAATATTTTAGAGCAAAATTGAGACAATGTGTCCTATGCGCCAGGTAGTAGGCTACCCGGCATATACACTACATTAGGGGAAGTAAAGATGCATCCCATCTTGGCACAGAAAATTTAAGAAAAAGTATTTACAGTAGTGTATTTAAGCTATCCTCATCATAAGATAACTGTGGCAAGATATGGCATATATAAATACTGTAATAAATTGACCATTTATTATTATTATTATTATTATTATTATTTTATAAGCTTAATATGAATATTTTTTAAGTTAATGTTATATATAATTTTAAATATAGCAATTAATTGTTTATATTAGTTTTTAAATAAAATGATTATATAGGCTATATTTAGCAGTGTGGTGTTGGCAATATATGCAAAGGTGCTTGTTTATTAATAGAATCGGTTGATAAAATGTTATTTTAGAGCAATTGAATTGCTTAAATTGACAATATTTAGGTGGAAATTTCAATATGTTCCTGCTTATCAATGTTTGAGGATTGTCTTTTTATAATATTTATTTTTAAAGAAGTTATTCTACCGTCCGATATTTCAAGCCAGAATAATTCGGATCAAGAATCCATTGTCGTTTAATGTGAAGTTAATGGGCACATTGTCTATTAAAGCCGCTTTAGCAGGTAACGTGTCCAATGTACTGGATGAAAACTAAGTTCACGAAAGATAATATAACTCAGCTGAACGACTGACAATCGTAGTACTTACTGTTCTCTCAATTAGTTGTATTTCTTTAGGAATTAGCACAAGATTGCTGTTGTGAACAAATCACACAGGAACTTTCTTTTTTTTTATGGAAAAACTAAGTTTATTTTCTATAATTTAGAAAGAATATGCCCCTCTTCGGACCTATTTTATTAAATATATCGGCAAATGTAAGAAATTACAGAATGGGTATACCTGTAAAAATAAATAAAATTTCGTTAAAATGTATAGAAAGTTTTTTTTCTGACTAAAAGGTAGTAAAACATAATTAAAAAAAACCTTTAAAACCAATAAAAACTGGATAAAAATAAGGTGTAAGAGCATTCACTGTATGTTTGTTAGAATGTCTGATGTTTTATACAATACAGTGAATTAAAATTGGTGGGGGAAGGGGAGAACTGTAGAAGTAAATTATTATATTCTTTCTAAATTATAGAAAATAAACCTACTTTTTCTATCAAAAAGACAGTTCCTGTGTGATTTGTTCACAACAGCAACCTTGTGCTAATTCCGAAGGAAATACCACTGATAATCGTACTTTTTCTTAACTAAAAGGAAATTATTCATAAAAAAAGCATGCTAATTATTAAAAGAAAACTTGTTAATAGAGAGGTTACGGCCGAAGTTTTCAACGCAAAAACGTGTACGTCGGACGTTTAGCGCCGCCTTCCTGTAAGTCTAGAAGTTTGACAATAAAGTTTGGAACGTCGAGCATGATTCCACTGACGTTCTAAACGCCATTGTCAAACTTCTAGGCTCACAGGAAGGCGGCGCTGAACGTCCGACGTTCCAGTTTTCGCGTTGAAAACGTCGGCAGCAACCTCTCTAATAATAGAATTAAAGTAATAAAATTAATAAATAACAATGTTTCATATATTATTATTTGTCCTTTTAGGGACCAAAGATGATAAAGAATAAGAAGAAAGCAAAAGCTGAACAACGAGTGACAATGATGGCAGCAGCTATGGTAGTTTGTACTCTAACTGCTTGGACACCTTACGCAGTGGTATCATTAATGGTAACTACAGGATATTCCCATCTCATAGGTCCCATAGCGTCAGTAGCACCGGCCATATTCGCCAAAACTAGCGTTATATACAATCCAATTGTATATTTCTTCTTAAATACTCAAGTAAATATGCTTACAATTTAGAACTATAGAATTTTATTAATCTAACTAACATTTAACAGTTTATTTTTACAGGTTAATAAATCTCTTAAGAAAAAGTTTCAAAGAAGGTCTATAAGAGAGAGAAATGAAGATTTTTCTGTAACTACTAATTATTTTTATACAGTGGATAGCATCAAGCCAACTGTAGCAGTAGCAACGAGTGTTCCAATTAAATCCAAGAAATCTCTCAAAACTGACACTTCTAAAGTTTAAATAAATATTAAATATAAAGTAAAATTAAATAAAAAAATATATATAAGAATTCAAAAAATTTATGTTTCCCTTATCTAATATTAAAGAAATTCCTTTAAAATATAACCTATTTGGCATTATTCTATAACAGATAATTTATTGATGCCATCGAAAATTGTTATTAAAAAGCCCATTCTCATTAAAATGTTTCTCTTAGCTTAGCGCTTACAATATTATTTCTTATGTAATAGAATGATTATCATTTATATATTAATTATATTATATAAATGAATTCTTATGGTCTGTTTTATGGTTTTGTATTCTTAAATGACGTCAAGTATGATTTATATCTTCTTGAAGAATTTACAGAAAATCATTAAGAATAAAAAAAGGATGAATATAATATATAAAATATTTATTTTTATGGAAATTTTTATTATTTTTTATAGAAATATATAACATCATTTCGGTGTAAAGTACGCTCATTGAAGCGATAGTGATGCATTATTTAAATAACTTCGCATTCTTTCTGGTTACAAACTTTCCAAAAAATAGAAAACTATTTAATTTTTTTATTTTTTTATTTTAAATTTTATGTATTATGTTAATATTAAATAAAATTATTTGATAAATAAATTTGTCAAGAAAACCGAAAGATTTTTTATGAATATTGAATATATTATACTATATTAATTATAAATCTAATTAATTTAAAAATATATAATGATAATTCTATTAATGATAACGCTTGAAATAATCTATTTACAGATAAATTCCTCTATAGCGATAATAGCAGAATAAGAAAACAATTGTCATTTAAAGACTTATTGTTATAGTGAGAGTATCCCCTTCCTCAATTATTATCAGACTACAAATAAGGTTATTCTACAATGTTAGAACTGAAAAAATATATACAGTTATTAGTCTCTTTTTAGTACAAGATTTAAATGATTTTATTGCATATTATTTATACAGTATTTATGTTAAAAATCAAAATACAGTATAAAATCGGCCAGAATCCGAATCTTCCTAAGCACAAATGAACTAAATAAAACTAAAACTAAGTAAAGTAACACTGAATTAATTGTAAGGTATAATATTTTTAAAGAGAATACTTTTTTGTAATTATTTTAATAAGGTAATTCGACCTGGGGAATATGAGCATACATTCGTAACTTCGTAACAATAATGTGAATGAGAAGTGTCATATATAAGACTCTTCTACGAGTGTTATTTTTAGCAACGTGGTCGCATACATTTATCAGATTAGCTGTAGTATGATATTTTTGTAAAATAATGTTCTTTTGTTGTCTAATCAACTGAATAAAGATGAAAAAAAAAACAAAGCCAAGTGTTTAATTAAGAACACAACCTTGTGTTCAACACTAAAAATGAGTCGAATATGAATCTGTCGACGTTTATAGCTAAAGTTTATCTATTCCAATTGACAGAACAATCTGGAAATACGTGTGGGGTGATATTAGCATGCTCATATCACTCTTCAGCATTGAAAATGTTTATAGGCTACTGCAACGAATTATTTTCTAGAACAGGAAAGAGGAGGAAGATGGATAAGATGTGAAAAATGAGCACACGAAGAGTGCACAGATGTTTCTCCAACCCAAATACAGTATGTTTGCAAAAAAATGCATACAAAATTTACAAATTATAAGTACAGTACAGTAGATCCCCCTATAAGACGGTAGATACGTTCCGTTCTTTATGAATCAATTTTGTAGGAATCATAGTTTACGGACTACGGCTGTTTGAAAGGTTTTCTTTCATAAAATTAATCGATTCTAGACTAATTCGACTCAACATTTCCAAAATACGTATATTTTTTTGAAAATAATCCGTATAAACTACGTTATAAACAAAAAATTGTAGGATTGCTTACCGAGTGTGTACCGTTCGACTACGCCCGTTGCTAAAGCTTGGTTTCGTCGCGGAACAGCGCATCAAACCGCGGCCGCGATTTCTGATATTATTTTTCTGCGAAAACTTCGTTGACCTTTGGAGACATCCTTAATATAAATAATTTTTATGGCCGTTAAATAAGAAATGTTTCTTTCACAAGAAATGTATAAAATTACAGTACTGGACAGACGATAGGTCGCCTAACTCGCCGTAGCGTGACGCTAGACGGCGAAAAATATATATTTAATTATAATAAAGTTACAATAAATTAAGTTAATATATAATTATATATACAGTACCTAATTTATATATAATTAATATATAATTATATGTACAGTACCTAATTTATATATAATTATATGAACAGACGATACTAAACTCAATTTATCCGCCTAAACGTCCGTAGCGTGGCGCTACGGACGGCGGGAAAGTAGTTCGGCTGCCCGATGACGTTTTACGTATTATAGGAGTTATTTTTACCGTTGTTTACGGATAATGCCACAATTTTTATAGGAATCATAACTATAGGAAACGGTTTTATAGGGGGATCTACTGTATACAATAACTACCCGTTAGACTAATCTTCTAATATAGGCGATATAATGCCTTCAGTTCAGTTGTGTTTTTTCTATTGTTTTTATGTTTGCATTTTTTAATTAAATTATTTTAAATTCAATTATGAATTTTAGTACAATTTATTCAATTTAATACAATTATTTAATTCATCCCCGTGTAATATGAGCAAATACAATCCTTTTGAAAAATTACTGCAGTTCAGAAAAGAAGTGGAGTATGCTACCCAAGTGTTGTTCTGTTACATTCATTTAATTTTGGAGAAAACCGACATTACTCTTAAGGTGTTCATATTTCCCCGATTTACCCTATATCCCTGTACACTTTGTAAGAGAACTGTATTATGCTAAATGAGTTTAACATAACAAAACTCTTCCAAAAATTATAGTCCTATAAGGATTGCTTAGTGTCGAAAATTACACTAATTCTAAAAGTAAAAAAAAAAAATACTTTTAGGCATAAAATATCAAAACACGCTAAATCTGGCAACTCTGATTTTGTCCGTACTGAAGCTTACTGACTTCAGGTAGAATCGCCATGTTAAGAGATTACCATATTTTAATTCCAAAAATGAGCCCGATAAATTAAAACTAATTAAATTTTAATTTACTACTTTATTATTGTTTTAGAGGAATGAAAATACTGTGTATTTTACGAGTAAAGTAAAAACAAATATATATATATATATATATGTATTGCTAACAGAGATTTATCGAAGTAGAGGATATCATTCGATCGGGAGAGGTTTTACGTTAATATACTAGAGATTTATATGTTTTTATCGTTATATCCATACACTACTGATATTTAACGATATATTTTGTAGAATAAGGAAATTCTAATATAATTTTGTTAAGAATTATATTTAATTCTGGGGTTAATTATTAATTTACAAAACTTCATTTAAAATCCTTATCTTTTATAAATGTCTGTAAGATGTACTTTAATATTTTAAAATTTTTAGATAAATTGCTTGTAAATCTTTAGAATATTTTGATTTAATATTTTACAAATATCTATAAAAAGGTGAAAAACATAAATATGTTTAAACTATGATACATCTTTATGGTGTTTATGTCCAGATAGAAATAGTTCATCTTTCTCTATAACATTTGAAAAGACACTTTAATAGATTAGATAATCAATCATGGTGTGGTAAATGCAAGAAAAACTGAATAATTTTCTTAACATAAAAAACTAGAAGAACTGTCCTGAGTATATGGCTTTAATTTAAGAAAATAATCCTATTTAAAAGTTTAACCGCTGGATATTTGGCACTGATATTCTCGTAGCTACATATTACATAAGTTTTCTAATTAAGTTTGGTACAAAGGAAAAGAAGATTAACACTTGCCGCTCACCGATTAATTAATTTAATGTAATTAAGCATTAAAAATACTTAAAACTGAAAAAAACGAAAGAAATGCGTTAATTTTGAAGAAAAAGCTTCAAATTTTATTTTCTTTTGTCTCGCCTTTCTGTGAAATTTGACACTGATGAGTCATTGTTTACACAGCTGGATGACCTTGAGAACAGCTGGAGTCGGATTTCCCGGGGCATTCTCATAAACGTCTCGGGAGGACAAGGGTTTAAAGTAGGGTGAATACTAGCTAGCCGTATATTTTTAAATATTTTTAAAAAATTAAAATTTTAATTGCGATTTCCGACCCCTCTCCGACTTAATTAAACTTATATATAATAAAATCTATTAATTAAAAAAATTAAAAAAATTATTGGAGGTCGTTTTTGACATCAGAAAGTAGCTTTAAATAACTTTACCGAAGTCAAATCCGTGCACTACAACTTTAGAACGATTAATTAATTTTGATAAAAAAAACCCCATNACGAGAAAATATACATTCGAAGCACGGCAGAATAATGGGGGCCGAATGGACCGTATTTTTGTAACGCTATGTAACATGCCCGAGTTAACTCGGAACTGGACGTTAAGGGATTTTAATTAATTAATTAATTTAATTAAAATTATAAAACTGTTTATAACTACAGTATATCATCTCATTAAAATTACATGAAAATGGATCTGAAGTTCTTTTAAGTGAAAACTTATTTAAACCTGATTAAATATATAGTAAAACCTGTCCAAAACGGAACCTGAATAAAGCGGAAACCTGCCTAAACGGAGCAATTTTTTTACGTTAAAAATACCTGTTCAAAACGGAAACATGCCAAAAAGTATTCTGTACCGGTTTACGCAGGTTTACTTTAAGCCCAATACAATTTAAAATGAATATAAAATAGAAAGTATTGGTGATTTTTAATATATTCCAATGTAAAAAAGACAAACGAATAATTAATTCTTTACGCAAAAAAATTAACCGAGAAAGAAAATCGATAGAATTTTTTCATCTCTGTTTAAATTTATTTAAAAAAATTAAATCGATAAATCACTTATTAATTCAATGTTTAAAACTAAATAAACAATAAATTATATGCTTATATAAAAAAGTATTTTATAGTCTGACTGGATTTAAAACAAATTGATAAAATATTTAAAAAATCTTTTAATATATTGAACTATTTTATTATTGCCATATATATAATAACACCGTGC